ACATTAAATTATATCGACCGTTCTATCGACTCAAATAAAGATTAATCGTTTTTTTTCAATTTCTTGTGTTTTTTTCCTGTACCTCTTAAGACAATCACCCGTTACAACGTATTTTCCATAGTTTTTCCATATAGAAATGCATACAACTGCGCCACTAGTGAAATTTTGAGGATATATCGTTTTTCCCCCATTTATTCAAAAATTGTCAGCGTCTTGCCGCCACCTACCACCCCCACCCGTCGCCTGCCACCTCAGAGCCTTAGATGAACTATGCTTTACCTACACCTTCACCACCTCTATAGCGACTAAAACATTAATATTATTGAAATTGTTTTACTCCGCATCAAGAAACAAAACAAGTGACAAGTCTACTTGTGGCGTTGGGACGCTACTATTTCTTTTTTGTTGGGTTTGAACTGTACACATGAAAAATTATTATTCCAGTTGAAATCGAATTCGTTTAACTTGTTTCCAAATCATAAATAAGATCATTGAAAAAGTCCTTATTCTTATTGTAAACATTCTTTTTAACAAAGCCGATAAGAATTTTATACGTGCCAGAAAAAATTAAGATTCCACGAACCTACACCAGCTTGAGCTTTGGTAGATATCCACAATATATATACAATGAGGAATTTTTGAAGAAGTTGATCTTTGGACTGGACCTTATCAGCTACGCCACTGTGGAGATGATATATCTCATTTTGCCTTGACTGGCCTTGCTGGCTGGTGTTTATTTATCTCTCCGCACGCTTTTATTAAATTGGAGGCCGAATGAGGCCTTTGAATATCCAAAGACGCCAAAAATGTAAAACAATATAATTCGCTTTAAGACTGATGTAAATTCAAGAAATTATAGTAGCACTTGTATATTTAAAATCAACTAACATTTGTTGATGAGCTTCTAGAGTCGAATAAACTTTCCATCAAAAATTTCGTTTCCACAACCTTTTTATCTTAGTCAATTTTTTTTCACATCGTCGTTTATTTTGTTCATTATACGGGGCCGATGAAAAAGAAAAGTATTGCCCAACTCTAGAGCACGCTGTATAATAAATATTTAAGGATCAGAAATAGGTGAAATTCATTATTTTGTTTCTCAAGTGTGAATAGTATTTTTTTGACTATTTTTTTCCTAATTAATATGTCATAGAAACGTATCATAAATAAGATGAATACAAAGTAATTTTTATAAAGTTTTGTTTTTCCTTATAGGTACAATACTTGACCTCCCGGTTCTAGCAGGAGAAGTCTTTAGAACAAATTATTAGGCTAACAAATAATTAGGCTACTATAAGAATGCCATATTTCTAGGTTGGTTTCGGCCAAACTAAGCTGGTTCAGAAATTTCGGTTTCGGTTTAAAAAAATGTTTTGCTGTTAAATTTTGGTGAATGCGTTTCAAATATCTAATAATGCCATCACATTCCCATTTTTAACCGGTGCCCAGGAAGTTCAAATTCATTGCAGCATTATTTTTTCATAAAGTAGGTGAGTATACAGGGTGTTTCAGTTTATTGTTGCATAACTTTAAGATTCAATAGAACTTTTAAAATTAATGCATAAAGTCTATATAAACATGGGTCGAAAAAGGCGTGGTTTCCGAAATTTACTTTTTAAAATAGTTTTTTTTTAAATATTCGAACAATATTTGATGTATAACAGTGAAAATTGGTATACAAGGGTTTTTGGTACGACAAACGAACCATGGGCAGTTTTACTGTAGCCACTAGAGGGCTCTCCTACTGTACCTGTAGTGTATTAAAATGACCGAAAAATTTTTCTTAGTGCAATTTTTTGCTTTTTGAATAGAAAAGCTGATTCTTCGCACCTTTCTGCATAAAAAAGCTATCCTCTGAGTTTTCGTTAGTTAGCCGTTTTTGAGATATTTCGATTTTTAAGGTCGATGCATTTTTAATTATTTATGGGAAAAAATATTTTTTTTTTACGTTTTCGATTTGGGCATTACAAGTAATTAAGATGATCGTTTAGATTGTGTTTTTAAACACAGCAATAATTCCTAACTCCAACTAAACACAAAAAACAGAATATTAATTTGTTTAATTTTCCAATATTATTTTAACAAGTTAATTAATTATTTTCAACTAAAATGCTATTGGATAGTTAGGACAAACATACAAAATCTAAAGTAGTTGCTCGAAATGTAAACCCAATTGTTCAATCACAATTCACATCTACGAATGATCGAACGTGGTATAGCATTATTCAAATAAGGCCTTATTTCACACATGCATTCCTGATTCTGTCTATTAGCATATCTTGTGGTTACGGGAGTCTGGTACACTTTTTCTTTTAGAAATCCCCACACAAAGATTAGGTCAGGGGATCGTGGAGGCCAGGCGACTGGTCCTCCACGGCCGATCCATCTTCTGGATAATTTTCGTCCAGCCAGTTTCTAACTATTCTCGAATAATGAGCTGGACAACCAGCAAGCTGGAACCAGGCCAATCTTTCTTAAAACTAACAAAACATCATCCCACATATTCGCATGTTCAGCCCTTTAAAAATTCCAAGAAGGTCGAAGCATTTAACCTTGCAGGCAAAAGGTAGGGTCGAAATAGTCGATTACGGTAGATACCCATTCACACGTTCACACTAAATTCATGCTGTAAATTTCTTTCCCGAACTGCATGCGGATTTTCATGCGACCAAATATGTTGATTATGAAAATTTACCACTCCACGTCTAGTGAAGCATGACTCATCGGTCCATAAAACGTTACTTAAAAACTCCCTATTATTATCAGTTGTATCAAGAATCCACTTCCAAAACCATTTTCAATTATTTGGCGATGCACTCTTACAAATACTGAGCGAGTGTATGTCGTCTGTTTGGAAATCTTCGTGCGTATTCTCTGGCTGCTTCTGCTGCGTTTCCATTTACAAAGCCATACACAAAATGAATATCCGCTAACTCTTGATTGGAGAATACAAATGGCATTTTTTAAAACTTACAAAAAAAAAACAGGTAAAAGAAACTAAATTTCGTGCATTCACAATTGCAAAAAACGTTTCAGGTTTCAACAGACAAAAAACTAACTGTCAACTAATTGACGTTTAACCTTATTCTGCTTTCAATTTCAAAGATATTTGCAGACACAGCCTACTTCTAAAAATTATCGAGATATTGACTTTTTAACGTTATTTTATCATAAATAATTAAAATGCATCGAACCTTAAACATCGAAATATCTCAAAAACGACTAACGATAACGAAAATTCACAAGAGAGCTTTTTTATGTCGAAAAGTGCCAAGAATCGGTTTTTTTATTCAAAAAGCAAAAAATTGTACTAAGAAAAAAATTTTCGGTCATTTTAATACACTAAAGGTACAGTAGAGAGCGCCCTCTAGCGGATACAGCAAAACTATGCCCATGGTTCGTTTTTCGTACCAAAAAACCCTTGTATACCAATTTTCACTGTTATACATCAAATATTGTTCGAAATATTTAAACAAAATATTTTAGAAGTAAATTTAAACCCTGTATTTCGGAAGCCACGCATTTTCGACCCGTGTTTATATAGACTTTATGCATAATTTTAAAAGTTCTATCGAATCTTAAAGTTATGCAACAATAAACTGAAACACCCTGTATATAACGTAGTCGAAAGTGAATTTTATTATGGCCCATCCTATAATTAAACGCTGATGTCGCAATTTTAAGTGTGGAAAATATCTTGTGAAGACCAACATGGTAATGAGGCACCTGTATTGGTATAGAGTGGAACATGTCATTACAACAGGTGATATCTACGACACAGGAGCATTTTTCAGCAGTCGCCTAACATTCTTATCTAAGCCACTGAAATGCTCGAGTACCCTAAACAAGAGCATCCATGTTTGAAGGTATTGCGTAGAAAAATAAAACATAAAAAAATTAAATGTAGTTTTATTGCAAGGGGCCAGGAGTGAAGCACGGACATCAACCCTCGTATACCTCACTTAGCTCGAAAGCGTTAATATACGATGGATAACTTGTAGTAAATGGCATCTCAGGCTGAATCTCTCCACTCGGAAAAACACCTATTAAACATTTCAGGATCCCCCCAGACAAATAGCTATCTATCGCTTCCGCAGAGTCGTATCAGTGAACTTGAACGCTGATAGTAAATTACAATCATCTAAAGTTAAAACCGCCCCCTTTCTTTGCTTCCGTGGGGGGGAGTGGAAAATAAATCTGGCCCGGAGCCCATAGATTCCGCTACCGCGATAGCAGCACAATTTGTTTTCGTCTAATTCATTTCTTATCTGAATTTCTACGGGGATCGCTCGCCTCTGTCTCCTGGTATCACACGGCTCTAGTGAGCCCCTGGAGAATAGAATTGTCGGACTCATTATGATAGTTTGGAATGTGATAGAGCAAAAACAGGTGGGACGTTATTCTTTAGAATATTTGTTCAGAACTGTTCAATAATGCAAAAGTAGAATTAAGTTAGCACTAATAACATAACGTGTGCTATTCCGTAAATTCTGTAAATACTCATAATAAACACAAGCAACGGCAGCACTGCGGTGAGCGATCTGTTCGAGAACGATCTCGATTACTTTGAACGGAATAAATGCGCAAGATGCGGCGACAGTACGCTCAGCTTAAAACTGAACGGCTACAAGTCCAGCGGTTGGATTAGAGTTGACCTGCGATTAAAAACATTATGAGCAGCAGTAAGAAGAAGAAGACATACTATTTCCATTCGGAATGGGAAGAACAATATCTCTTTATTTTATTAATTGTGAACAAGATTAGGGCTCAAGCGTTTCAATACGGGAACTAGTTCTTCACTAGGAAGTCCAAAGGATAAGCAGGGGACGAGTGCTGAAACATTATGAGATCATATCTGCCATAGTTCAATTTTTCAATCAACGCGATGAACCGATTACGGAACTGGAAAATTCAATCTGGCGTAGAGATTTTGGTTTTCTTGTGGATATTACAGAAAAATTAATTGAACTTAATTTGCAGCTTCGGGGGAGATACAAAGAACTAGCAGAAATGATTTCTGATATAAAAGCTTTTGTCAATAAGCCTGAGTTTTGGGAACAAAACTTAATCGATGGCGATACCAGGCATTTCCCTGTACTTTCAGCAAAGATATCTCAAAGTCCATTAGAACCATATGATAGTAAATGTCATGTAGGATAACTTCAAAAATCGTTTCAAGGATTTCAACGAAATTGCTATAGTGACGCAATTTTATTCATGAAAATTGATATCCAACAGTTTGCAACTTCTGTTACGCAGAATTTCAGCGAAGATATCACTGTGACAGAAATGGAAGTGATTGCGTTTCGAAATGATTTAGCTTTAAAATCATTAGTCTCAAATACAAAATGTATCTGGCCTTAAGTAAGTAAAGATAAACATTCAGTTTTATGCCATGTTACCTTTACAGTGAAAGCATTATTTCAACCTATTTCTGTAAATCTCGTTTCTCAAATATGAAGTTTATTAAAAGCAAATACCGTAATCGGCTTACAGATGAATATTTGGATAATTGTATTCAAAAGGCGGTATCAAATTATACTCCAAACATTAAAAAAATTGTCAGTGAGTCTGAGTGTCAGGCTTCTCATTGAACACGCATTTATTATCTGGACATGGTTTTGTTAAAACTGGTGCGTTGTTCTTTTTTATTTTTAGTCACCTTTATTAAATCGTAATATGTAATATGCTGACGAAAAATTTTGTTTATTTTTCAAACACCTACGATTGGTAGGAATGGATGTAGTTATGTAGTTATATACACCTATTAGTATTAGTTTATTAGTATTAGTAAACTAAACTCATGCATGTCGCATACAACTGTGTATAATTTCAGTTAAGTTGGCTTACATTGCTTACGACTAGGTAGCTCACTATTTATTCCAAAATTATCAAAGTAGCTCAACACACTGAAAAGGTTGGCGACCACTGTTCTAAGAGATAGAGCAACAATAATGCATTTACATCATGCGCTGTGCGCTATACAAGGGCTTAGAGCAGCACTAGTAGTCACGGTATATACACACGATACACATACACTGAAGATAGGATATTGCGCATGTGGGCGGAGCTTCGTGACGTCACCCGGAGAGTTGGCGTTGCGTTTAGTTGAATTGGTCTAGTGCCGCGACATCGCTTTTAACGGTGTGGTGTCAACGCAGGAAATAGCACGGTCCCGTGGTTAACTACCCACTGTATAAACATGGCAGTAGATACTGGTGCACTCTGGGCGCCCCCCACCACTTCCACTTTTTGGCCACGCCCACCACATCCACCGCGTGCTCTGATTGGCGGATCAAACGGCGGGAAATTTGAACGGGGTTGATGGTATATGTTGATTGGCGGGAACCGCTAGATCCACCGCGTGCTCTGATTGGCGGATCAACGGCGGGAAATTTGAACGGGGTTGATGGTATATGTTGATTGGCGGGAACCGCTAGATCCACCGCGTGCTCTGATTGGTGGATCAGACGGCGGGTTTGAACGGGTTGATGGTATATGTTGATTGGCGGGCCCCGTTAGATGCGCACCCGACCGGAAGTGATTCAGACAGCCGACGATAGTAAGGTGTAGTATAACGTCTATGCGTAAGCGATGTGACTCATTTCATGTTTTGCGGTAAATATTTGCATATAGATCGATAAAAGCCCATGAATAATGATATTTATAGATGCAATTCTGCGATTCAGTTTAAAGGAAAAACGTATAAAATTCGCGGAAACAATGCGTATAGGATGATCTCAATAATCAACACGTCATATTCAGTGTGCATATAAAAATGGAATTGCTCATATGTGGTGCATACAGTTAATGTTAGTTAATTTTTAACATTGATACAATATTGAAAACATAGTACAGTCTATATTGTGTATCTAATAATTCAACAAGGCAATCACCTACGTCGCAAATGAGGTTAGGTTCAGGCAGGTGTTGTCGTAGCGGTGATATGCAAGAAGTACCGGGCGGGGCTGTTAAGCATGGGTGAATGGGCAGGAAGCGCAGGCTGTCAACGAGTTAATACTGACCAACGATAACAGCGGTGACCTTGAAACACTGTGGTCAGTTAAAAAGTGGTGGGGGTAAAATCGAGATTATAAATACCTATGAATCACCGCAAATTATCTTGTCAGTTATCTGCAGCGAACAGACGTGCTCAGTTCAGATTTAGTCGCTAGTTAACGTTTTAGTTTTTAAAAAATGGAAAAATTCTTCATCGTTAAGGATTCTACTAAGAAGATTAAAAAATTTAATCTATATGGGCGAGAAGTGGAATTTAAAATACGACCTATCCCTAAAGACGTCGAACCTGTGGGATGGATCAAAGACGCTCTGGAGGAAATAGTAGCCAAAGGAACTGAACATCTCCAGCCCAGTGATCAAGTTGGATTCACTTTCTGTTCCAAAGACTTTACCCGCGGTCAAGGATGGATAGCTTTTAAATTGTTTTCCGACGTTTCAACTGAGGACATATGGGAGAAGATATCTTCCATCTATCAGTCAAATTCTGTGGGGTTGAATACCGAGACTTTTTGCTTGGGTATTACGTCCGTAAGGTTGCCTGCTGGTCGTGGTAGAGCTCAGAATTTCAATACCTTTGATGAGGAATGCGCCAAAAGAAAGGCATTATCACCGTTAAAAACACCGATAATTTGTGTCTCCCACGAGCCCTTGTCATCGCCATGGCCCATTGAACAAAGACAAAGATTATAGCAGAATCCGCCTCGATCGAGGAAAAATACAAGGACAAAGAGCTGCACAACTTGTGGAAAAGGCTGATTTGTTATCCCTGAGGAGGGGTGTGAATTACCTGAACTTCAAAAGCTACACGATATCTGCAAAACTACAAAATTGTTGTATACAAGTTTGGGTGCAAAGGTCGTGACGTCATTTTTGAAGGCGTGTCCACTGGTTCGACGCTTAACCTAATCTATCACGAGGGGCACTACAGCGTCATAACATCCCTCACTGCTGCCTTTTGCTGCAAGCTATTTTTGTGAGAACTGCCACATTCCGTATAATAATAAACAAATTCATAGATGTGATAAACAATGTTATGCTTGTAAAAGATCTCCGGCCTGCCTGAAAACGAAGCACATCGAATGCAAAGAATGTAATAGAAGCTTTTATGGACAAGAATGTTTTAACGCTCATTTACCATCGGTCCTGTTCTAAAATTAAAGATGTGTAGACTGTTTTAAAGTTCACAACGGTAATGATCACATCTGCGGACATATACTTTGTAAAACATGTTATAAAAATCAACCAATTGAACATATGTGCATATACAGCCTGACAGAAGTATTCCAAAATCAAATGATGTCTTATTAATATTTTACGATTGGAAACCCGTCAGGAGAAGGAATTACCCAACGGATCTTTACTTCATGAGCCAAATCTATGTGTATTCAAACAATGTGTGAATCATGTACCGATAATCCTATATGCAAGAAATGTGGCCTTCGATTACAGATTCTTCGATGTCAAGACGTCATTTCTCCATTTATGCATCATATTCTGACACTTCGTAAAAAATTCAAGAAAGTCATTGTACTGGCGCATAATGGTGGAGGATTTGATCATCAGTTTCTACTTCGTTACATTTTAGAGAAGACTAGTCTGTACCCAAATGTAATTATGAGAGGAACAAAATTAATATTGATGGAGGTAGGAAATGTAAAATTTCTGGATTCTCTCAATTATTTTCCTATGCCTCTAACTGCTCTACCCAAGGCGTTTGATTTGAAAGAGCTAAAGAAAGGATACTTTCCACATCTATTCAACACTTTGGCTCATCAGAATTATCTAGGGCCAATTCCAGCGCTCGACTTCTACGATCCCGACCATTTAAAAGAAGACACTCGAGAAAAATTATTAAAATGGCATGGCAAAAGACAAGCGGAGGGATACGTTTTTGATTTTCAGAAAGAAATCGTTGAATACTGTATCTCCGATGTGGAAATATTGACACAGGCGTGTCTCAAATTTCGAGACCTGATGAAAACCGAAACCACAGTCGATCCCTTCCAGGAAAGCACCACTATTGCATCATGCTGTAACAAAGTCTTTAGACGCAATTTTTTAAAACCTGAGACGATCGGGGTAATTCCAAAAGGGGGCTATAGATGGCGTGAAAATCAGTCAAAAATTGCCATCCAATGGATGTTGTGGGAGGAACATCAAAGAGGAATCAAAATTCAACACGCCGCTAAGGGTATAGAAACCATTGTTAAGGGACATAAAGTAGACGGTTTTTGTAGCGACACAAATCAAGTGTTTGAATTCCAAGGATGCTATTTTCACGGTTGCCCTCGATGTTTCAAATACAACAGAAGCAATCCTCTGCATAATGATCCGTTGAATACATTGGAAAGTCGATACGAACAATCAGTTAGCAAAGTAGAGAGACTCCGAAGCCTTGGACTAGAAGTAATTGAGATATGGGAATGTCAATTTCGAGGAATGCTAAACGATGAAATTAGAGCCTTCACAGAAGCACATCCATTGATAATCAATTTACCGATTAACCCCAGAGACGCTCTCTACGGGGGACGTACAGAAAATATCGTTGAATACTACAAGATCAAAACAAATGAATGCATAAAATATGTCGATATATGTTCCCTGTACCCCTTCATCTGTAAATATGGAAAATTTCCGGTGGGTCATCCAAAAAAAATTTACGTAGGTGAAGAATGTGTTACAGCCTCTCTGTCGCAGATGTCAGGACTTATTAAATGCCAGATTCTACCGAACCAGAACTTATATCACCCCCGTTTTACCGTCAAAAATGAACAACAAATTGATGTTTGTTAACTGTCAAAAATGTGGTGAAGATTTCGTTCGAGAAGAGTGTCAGCATTCTATTCAAGAAAGAAGCCTAAAAGGAACTTGGGTGATAGAAG